GCCGCCACAAAAAGAGTTGATCCCGCCGGGCCGGGGTCTTGGTTTGTTTTGAGGAAGGGGGGGGGGGGGGGGGGGGGGTAAAAATTTGTCAGAAAGTCAATTTTTTTATAACCCTTGGTTCCTCCAGAAATCTTTTAAGAACAACAAAAAATACCATGCTATTCGAAAACCAAAGTCACTTCCAAATATATTTAAACTTTGGAAGAAGAAATATTGTACACATAGTTAAGCTTATAAAACCAAGAAATTTACAAATAGTTCAACTTATGAAACAAAGAAATTTACAATTATCTAAACTTATAAAACAAAGAAATTTACAATTATCTAAACTTATAAAATAAAGAAATTTAAAAATGTTTAAAGTTCCAACAAACAAAAAGAGTTTTCTTTATTCATCATCACTATCTTGTTCTTCATCACTGTTGTTCATAAAAATAGTAATATTTCTAGATTCTGCTCGACCTGGATGACTTATAAAATCACGTATAATGAATTGAGTAGCTTCATTACTTAAAGACGACGCTAAGGTTGATGCTTTAATACATATTTCTACCGTACTATCACTAATTCGATTACGTTGCCAAGATTTAATTCGTCGAAGTGTAGAAAATGAACGTTCGGCTTCATTAGAGCCAATCGCAAAGGTGCCTAACACTTGATATAATTTATACCATTCAGGAGCTTGTTCTTGCCCATGTTTAGCTAATTGTTGTATAATCGATTGAATTGTATTTAAATCTTGTGTTAGTACCAAAAATGAGTGAACATCTTTTTTTAATCGATTGATGTTTAGTAAAGGTGAATCAGTTCGTTTGAATTTTCTTTTATCGACACTTGTATGTTCATATGAAATTTCATTTGTGTAGGTATGAACTAAACCATTTTGAAGTAATTCATCAGGTGTAAACTTAGATGGCGTCGATAACATACTTAAATTTTCAACTAATTCTTTAGCTTCACTATCGAACTTATTTGACAATGAATCTAATATCGCCATAACGATTTCTTCTCCATCTTTTCGTAAATCATCTTCACTAAAGTCTTCTGAAAATATTGCAGTTGACACTTCTTTTCTTTTATGACGTGTTGAATGAGCAGTAGCGGTGATCGTTGGTGCGTGTTGCTGAAGATTCCACATTAAGGATTTAAATGATTGAAAGTCAAAATCTTGAGCAACTTTACTGATAGAAGCAGTGGCCGCTTGTACATGTAATGAAAAACTATCCAAACAAGATCCACGTGATTCAATTTGACGAAGGAACTTCATTGATATTTTGAAGATATTTCGCAGCATCATAATCTCGAACACTGTTTCATATTTCAATAAAACAACACTATATCGTTTAGCATCAGAAGAACCATCGGTCTTTAATTGTGAAATTGTTGTAAGTGTTTGAACAATTGGTAAATAATGTTTAACAGTAAAACGAAGTATTTCATAGTTGTAGCTCCATCTGATTTTCGATGCTTTTGGAACTGTATGTCCTGGAATAGATCATAAAAAGTATAAGATCCACTTATGCTTAGAGTAAAGAATTTATACCTCGTTTACTTGTACCATTTAACTTTTGACAATTGAGTAGAATTTCGAGTCGTTGTGGGCTATCACGAATGAATGATAATGTACTTTTGACTGTATCAAATGCATCGTAAAAATCATCTTCTCCAGAATCTTTTACAGCTAAATTGAGAAGGTGACTTCGGCAATAGATATAAAATGCCCAAGCCGATAATCTTGCTCTCACATGACCACTAGTTTGGTGTCTCATACTCGACACCCCGTCATATGTTTGAGCAGTTACAGTAAATCGTTTGCCAGCATCTTTTTCCAACTGAGTGATCAATTTTTCAATCATAAAAAAGCATCCTGTACGTATAAGAGATATTTCTTATGCAATTTATTTGATGAAAATCACGTTTATTACCTTCTCCAGATGTATCTGTAATAGGTTTAATTTTGAATAATTGTTCTTGTATTGTACCTGTATCCTTTTCAATATAACGTAAGCAAATTGAAACCATTTTTCGAACTGATATGTCCTGTGTTTCATCAACTATCAGGTTAATGAAATCTGTTTTTCGAATTGATGCTAGTTGTTGTTGGTATATATAGGCATTTATTGATAAAAGCCATTCAGATATAGCTTCTTTTCCCCAGTACCTAAAACATGAAAAGTTTAAAATATCTTTTTAAATGAACTTAACTGTGTTACTTCTGTTTATTATTTGATAAGTTCATCCATTCCGCAACACCTGGGCAATGAACTCGATCCAGCAATTGTATTAATGGTTTGAACTTGATTAACGGCATTTCTTCAGTCAGAATATACCAAAATACTTCAACTATAGTTGATAGATATTTTTCTGTTTTTTGTTGCATATTATAACATTTTAATTGTCCAATAATATTACCATTATCTTCAATATTCTTTAAAAGAATTCGACGTTCTCTTGATGAACGATGAATATCGCTTGACTCGTGCTAACGAATACCTGAAATTGGAAAATCACATGTTGTGGATCCTGCTCTAAAAAGTAATGTTCCATGAAAATTCTAACATACCTTCAATACCTTTATGTCTTAATTTCCAAAATGGCCGAACAATGAAGGCCCCTCCACTTCTTCTAATTTTCATCTGATCAGTAGCAAACTCGCTGCAGTCAATACAAAGCAGTCCATATTTACCATCAGAATAGATCGCCCTTAGCCATGGACGGCTGCGTGTAAACCATTGACTGCTAGGTTTGTCATAAAACTTGTGCTTTTGATGTTGATCAATATCATCTGAATACCATTTTATGTTTGGATGTGCTGCACGTTGTTTATCAACGAATTCCATCTCTTGACTATGCATAAATATAACACCTGGAAGAGATTTCGGTGAAAAATTAGGAATATTTGAATGCTGAATATCAGCCATCTTTGAATCTAAATGATTGCTATTAACAGAGCTACGTTCGATAATGTTGTTGTTGTTTTCTTCCTCTGAATCAGATATTGTATCCGAATGATTACAGTTGTCCTGTAGTTTTGCTTCTTTTTCTAAATTATAAATAAGATGATATTCTAAACTTACTATCCTAAATATAATTGCACGAAATTTACTTACGAAATAATACTTGCAAATCAGTGTTTTTATTTTCCAATACGCCCATTGCTGTTGGTGTACATAAACTATCTTGATTTTGTGTTTCACTGTCAATCACTACAATGAAGTTTATGAAACGTATTTTAGGTTAAAAAAAAAGAAATATTTCGATCTTACTCTCTACATTCGTATTATCAATTTCAATTGAAATATTAGATTGGCAGGCGGCTGATAAAGAAATATTACCATTAAAATTACTTCCTTGGTATTGAAAATTAGAAATATTAATACTGTTATCATTATTAGTACAACCATTGATAGTATTAGCATCAGATGTATTCGATGTTGTTGTATTTTTGATTAATGAAAAATTTTTCATAGAAAACAAAGTATTTTTTGAAGGTTTGGTGATTCTTGATTTGGATGAGCTAAGACGTAAGACTAATACTTTTTTCAGCTTTTCATATTCTTTGTTGATATGTTCGT